TGTCTAACAACGTATTCAGCCAAGCCAGCGTAGAAATACTCAACATATGGAAACCCATAATCAAGCGAAAAATGGCCAACTCCTGCCAAACGGTCATCTCCCACGGAACCAGTGAAGCGAAAAATTGAAAGCGGGGATAAGTGAAAGTACTCGAACGACCTATAAATAGTCATCTCTCGGAGGAATCAGTCCAGTCATCACCCGAAGACGATGTAGATACTAACAATCGAAACGTCGTGAACTAACGTAACTTAGAATCTCTCAACTTTTTATTTTATTTTCTTTTTTCATTTCTTTATTTTTATTTATTTTTGTTCAATAGTTCCATTTTACTTGTATTTTATTTCACTATTATTTCATTTCAGGTTTATTTTGCTTAATATAATTGTTATTTTCAGCCTTTCATTTTCAATTCTTCTTTTTTAGTTGTTCCAGGAATTTCAAATCATTTTATATAGTAGACAATGGAAGTCCGAACTAGTGAAATTCATACCTTTCTCAGTACAGTCGGGATTCAGACCAGGATACCTCTACGGCACAGCACTTCTCAATATACCAGACGATTATTTAGGAAATTAGACGAACGAAAGATCGGTATATCATTATTATCAAATTATAGTTGACACGCTCAACCACGATATACTGCTTTCCGTGCTTCACTTCATAGGTTTAGGAAATCAAGCACTCAACTTATTCGAAAACTATCTCACAGAAAGATCTGAGAGTAGCATTACAGGGAGTTTCATTTGGAAGTGGTCTTTATCACGTGGAGTAGCACAAGGTTCGATTCTCCTCTGATCTACACTATTTTCACTAGTTATTTCTTAAATTTTCCAATATACTCACGAGTTCATATGTACGCAGATGACACCAAAATTCACTAGTGTTTTCAAACCAAATGAAATAGTTGAATCACAACAGAGAGTGAATAAAGACGTGCTTCAAATCGTAGAGTGATCTGAAAAACGTGATTCTGTCATCTGATATGTTATTTGGACCTGTTGATCTAGCTCAGGGGTCTCCAAACTTTGAAGCCTTCGGGCCATAATGATTTTTTCAGTTTGTTCCAAGGGCCAATTTCTGCCCTCAACTGTATTTCTAGACTAGGATAGTCGCAAAGTTCGTGACCTAAGCAAACTTACGCTTTTTTTGCATTTCAATTATTATTGTGTATTGTGACACTTAACGAGTAATTATCATTCTGTGTTTTCTTCTTCAACTTATCACAGCAATAGTAACAACAATTAGGTAATCATTGGCTGTCGCGGGCCAGATTGATGACAGTAAATCATTGGCTGTCGCGGGCC